CTTGATAAGAAATGTACGCATTATCCTGCCCATGTAATTGTAACCCCTCTGTACAGTATGTTCACAAATAAAAAATAAATTAATTAAAAAAAACCACCTGGAATATTAAATATAGACATGATATAGATACGGGCATGACAGCTCATGTCAATAATTCTAGTACTAAAGCGGGGAAGAGGAGAGGGACAGGTGGGGAGGATTGAAGCAAGAGGACATGGAGGCCAGCCTGGGCTACAGACTGCCTCAAAATCAGACAAGCTAATAATTTTTTAAGAAAAGAAAAGTAAGCCCAAAGAAACCCAAATAATACAAATACGGATTCAAGAATTCTATTGCAGACCTACTTAACCAGAACCTTCTCTGACACGTCCCAGGCCCTGCTCCTAGACACACCTACCATGCCCATGTTAACCACTCTTCTGCTCTCACCTTCTGTAGGACCAATCTTTTCAGATTTCACATAAGATCATGTGTTTTTGTCTTCAAATGGATCAAAACATCACAGGGTGCCTCGTGATGTGCTGTTTTTAGTTATTAATTTAAAGGAGACACACACACTATGAAGTCTCCCAAGGTGATCTGGTGCATGTCACTGACTGGTAGCATTGCACGAGACAGTGATTCTCAAGCTTGACGGACACCAGAACCAGCTGGAAGTCACATTAAAGCAGATTCCTGGGCCCAATCTCCACAGTTTCTAAGGCAGTAGGTCTAAGATGGGACCCAAGAATTTATTCTCCTGGAGAAGCATCAGGGGGATGATTCTACCAGAAACCTGGTCATTCACCAAACACCTCTTTGAGAAGATGCTGCATTTGACCTATATCTCTCAGCTCCTGACCTGGACCCATTCCACACTGGCTCACTCTTCCACAGATACGTTCTCATGAAAAGCATCACCTGACATTGTCAGTGAGGCCCCTCTGCTCCAGCTGCTTCTCACTGGAAAGGAGTTGATCTGTTCTTCAGAATCGCCTTCAGCCATGGCTCATCTACTTTCCACCTTTTTTCCTAACACCTCTTGCCACCTCATCTTTATAATTCCAACCACTCTTCCTAATGTCCTCAACTCTTTCCTCATCACACCTGCTTATTAAAGCTCTGTCGCCAATCTAATAACTGTTCATGGTGGAGAGGGAGGAGGGAGGCCCGAGGTGCCTGCAGCCTCTCACATCAACTGCATTCTTACTACTACTCAAGTCTATATTCTGGGATCAGCTGTGTTTCTAAGGCTGCTTCAAATCTCCATTACCCCTTATTCAAAACACCTAGTGCCAGATGTTTTCGAGTTTGCAGTAATAAATGAATACTCTGTAAGGTATACTATATAATCTAATACATTAAAATTTCTGCATTAGTATGATTAGCCACACTAAGTATATTCTACAAAAATGCGACACAGATTAGGCTTTACCATCAATCTTACTGAAAATTGGTGTTCAGAAGTTTTTAGAATTAGTTATCATAGACAAAAGATGATCGTGTCTGAAGGATTATTCACTAGTGATAGGAAGTATCTTGATTTTTTTCATGGTACCTAATGCCTCTGGATGGCGCTCAGATGTATTAATATAATTTATAAGCTCCCGAGCCCTTTTCCGGCTTATCTCTTGTCATTTCCCACTTCCTGGTCAAAGCACTAGCCCTAATAATCTATTTTTAGGTCTCCAGAGAAAACTGTTTGCTCTTGTCTTTGTATAAGCCGTTCCCTCTTTGATAGTGTACTAGTAAAGAATCACAAATCTTCTTCCTCTAAGATAGAAACTACAACTAAAGATAAGTTATGAGTGTCAGTCTGTGGAGAGGCCTATGCTAACCAGGGCTGATAAATCTCTTATCCAATCATCTTTGCTTCATTTACTTTTTTTCCCCAACAGCATACCATAACAACATATACATGTATATCCAAATTCATATTTGCTTTAGTCAACTATATATATACACAATACATATTTTTAATCTTAACATTTTATTTTATAGTCACAAAGTGGCATAACCAAGTTACAGAATGTTTGGAAAAGAAAACCCAAGGAGATTCACAGGGTTTCATTACTCTATAAAACAATCACGGTAAGTACTGTCTCCTAGAGGCAGCACCACTGGGGACCACTGGAACCCTCTTTACTGCGGCGCCCAGACGCACTGGTTCTCACTTTTTATTGTTGTTGTCCAGCAGCAGCCTGCACTTATGGCTGGTGCGTCTCTACCACTTACGTGATAGGACACCATTTCAGTTATGCCTCTGCTTCCTTTATGCTGCTGCTTAACTGGGGTAAGAGTCTTATGAATTTCCCTTCCCTTCACTGGCTCCACACATACTCAGATCTCAGCCTCCTGAGGTAGCTAGGAGTATTGGTAGGTACCAACACCCAGCTGCTTTTCATTTTTAAGTAATATAAATAATATAAATTACATATAAAAATAAATGTTATAAATAATCTAAACATTCAAGTGAAGAAGAACTGGCCTATCATTTTCATGTGCAGAATTCAAATTTCAATCATACCTGATTGAATTTTCTACCATAATCTATGTACCAATTTTAACAATTTTAATTCCTGTGCATGCAGTTTAGGGTTTTTTTTTTTTTTTTTTTTGCTTAGAGACAACCAGGAAATAATCCCAAGAACAGACATAAAGGTAAAACAAAAGAAACAGAAGCAGATTTATTTTTTAATGACATCTGGGGAAACAGAGAAAATAAAACTGATTTCCATGAGCAGCAGGAACTTAGGTCAGCTGTCAGATGAGGATTAACATGGAAGTGGTGCAGAGACAAGACATATATAAGGATGAGTCATAAAAGAAGCATCATTTGCTTTCTTGGACAATAAGGAGCCAACAAATGACTTCATGTATGACTAATAGATGCCACACAGCAGAATAAAATATCTTGCTAGAACTGTAGGTAAAAGCTAGCTAAAAAAGCTTCTGATAAGCAAAGGAATTAATGAATAAATTTAATTAAAATCTCTGCTTGTTATTTTCAAAGGTTCCAAGATCAAGAAAGTCAGAGAAAAATGGACAAACTGCTCTAGATTGAAAGAGACTAAGAAGAAAATTAAGTGAAATGGATGATTCTGTCTTAGACCTATTTGCTATGAAAGTACCTTATTGAGAGAATTGGTGGAACTTGACAGTCTGAGAATTAGATGGCAGAAATGTATCCTATCTTCAATTAACCAGCACAAAAGCTGGAAGTGTGCCTGAAGTGGAAGAGTGTCAGCCTTGACTGGAAAAATAAGCGAGAGTACAAGGCCCAAAGTAGAAAATAAAAAGTAACTACTGCTTGCATAAAAGGTGAGGCATGTGTATTATATGGATTTGGAGAGACTCAGAACTTTACACATGACACCTCCACATTAATATATAAACATACTGTCATGTTAATCAAGGTCCTAATTGCATCTTCCAGTGGTACAACAAAGCACTTGACAGAACACACATAAAGTTCATTTGGAGAAATACATGTAAGAGAATAACAAAAAAAAACTTTTGTAAAGTATAAACAGCAATAATAAAAGTAGTATTTTGCTGAGACATACTAATGGGCTAAAATTTAAAGTCCATAAACAAGTTTAGGTATATATAAGTATTCAATAAATGACAAAGAACAATAAAACAATAGAATATACAATGTGGTGACAACTTGCAAAATCCATACCTCATCCAAAAGATCAAATAAATTTCAGGTGGTTTATAAAATTTAAATTGAAGAAGAAATATGGGGGGGAAGACTTTTATATATGACTTCAAAGGAAGAAATAATAAAAAAAGACTAATAGATTTTTACACAGAAAGCAAGTAACAATCACGAAAATATAGATTAAGAATAGCAACTAGTTTTGGTCATTGCTATTATATCACTTAAATTTGTCATTTTTCTTTAAATTTCATTTAATTTCCTTAGAAATACATAAAAGCTTTAAAACTACAAATAAGTTAAAAATAGCAACTTCTTAGCTGACATTTCTTTCTTTGCTTTTAGTTTAGAAATGACCCTTTAAGCCCCAAAATAGATTTTTACTTTTTAAAATCAGTTCTTTCATTTTTCTTATTTAAATTAATTAAATAAATTAGAGGTCAAAATATGGCTCTGTCTTCTATTAAGTATTTGATTTGGGGATGTTACTTAACCTCTCTGTGTCTCAATTTCATTTTCCAGAAAAGATAGACATAATAATACCAGGCTATTAGTGTTATTACGGTTTTGTGAAATAAGTGATTTATACAAAGCATGTATCATGGTAGAACTTGACATATAAAAAAGCACTAAGAAATGGAGCTATGAGATTTAATGCCATTCGCTTTTCTACTGTGCTCTTAAATTTCACTGGAATATTTTCATGACTTGTAACAACATGGTCTGACAAATGGTACTGCCACCTGATTTAAAAACTTATGTCACATCATTTAATTGATGCTGTAGTGTCTTGCTTATTATTTTAAACTATATCTTTAATTCTTTAATGAATATATATATGTTATATATTTAGCATCCTAAAATTTGAACTCTTTTTCTCCCCAGAGACAGAGCCTTATGAAGGTGTCCGGGCTAGCCTGGAACTCCTGTGTTCAATGGTGTTGGGGGTAGCCTGGAACTCCTGGGTTCAAGCACTTCTCTTGCTCCAGCTTTGGAGCATGTGGGACAAATCCATCCTACTGGTCCTTTAAAGTTACAGTCCAATGTTATCAGATGGCCAAGTAACAGTGTAACCCTAGACTATGAACATGGCTTCTCCTACGCCGGACTCTCCTGCTGGGCTTCCTTATGGGACTGCCATGTGCACAGGAGCTGGCCCATCCCTGGCTTACCTCGAGCAGGCCGTCCTCTGGCAGATCCGTACAGTGAACAGCATTCCGGATCTTAGTTTTACCAAAGATTGCTCTGAGGGTGTCAGGGCGCAAATGCCGGGCAATTTCCTATTAATATACATTTACATAGACATTAGTCTTATGACGAGCATAAGAAAAACATTAGCTCTATGAAACACTTGAATTATTTTTATTTATGAGATACATGTTGTACATTAAAGATGCTCGTTTTTCCTGGAAACCACATGAATGTATGAAAATTTCACACCCTGAAAATTTTGCATTTACTCTTAAGAATTCCTGTGGCCCAATGTAGAGTCTATTGCAATTTGTGTTAGAGGGCAAACAATAATGACATTTCCATTTGTCAACAGATTATTAAAAATCACACAAACTAGGGAACCACAAAATGGGGAGACAAAGGACAAAGGGGTTGGAACTTAGGCAACAGCGATACTCACAAGACAGTATGTTGGAAATAATCTGTACCACTGGGGAGGGGTTGAGGGGGAAGGAAAGAGGGAGAAATATGAGGGTAGGGGTAACAAATCAGACAAGAAATGAAATCACTACCTTACTTATGTAACTGTAACCCTCTGTACTTCACTTTGACAATAAAATAAAAAAGCATATAAAAAGTAAAAAAAAAAATCACATAAAACATGAGTCATTTCATTATTGTGAAAACTTTTATAAAGACAGTAGATATCTAAATGATTTGATTTAACATAAACCAGTTTGATAGTATTGAAAGATTTAGAAGATTTTTTAGATGTTATATCTACTTTGTATTAGCTCATTTAACAAGAAGCTACAAATAGCCCTGAATTTAATGAAAGCTGAGAGTTTTACCAACAAAAATAACAAAACAAGAGAGGTACAACAGGTTGACAATAACTTTGGAAAGGAAGGAAGGACATGGAGGACAGAGAGGGGAAGAGATGAGGGCAAGGTGGGTCTGAGGGGATGGATGACTACCAACATAGCGACAAGGTTAAGAGACAAGCTATTTAAATTGAGATTACCAAGCATGGTAATGAAGTCAAATTGAGGCAGGAATGTTGAAGGAAAGGAGACAACAGATAGAAGGAAGAAGGGAGGGAGGAAAGGAAAAGGGAAAGGGAAAGGGAATAGGAAAGGGAAAGGGAAAAGGAAAGGAAAGGAAAAGATAGGAAAAAGAAAAAGGAAGAGGAAAAGGAAAGGGGAGGGAGGGAGGAAAGGAGAAAGGAAGAAAAAAATCGATTCTACTGCCACTCATATGAAAGTGTGGCATTATTTACAGTTTATAATACTGGATAGTAATAACAAAAAAAACTATTACTAAAGGAATAACAGTGAATTGATTTTAGTTTGGATCACAATGAAGTATAATACATGCTTAAAAGATTTTAAAAACACTAAAATAAAAGTAAAATACTAAAAGTGAAGTGATCTTCCATAGACTGATTTCTCCTTGTCATTTCCCTACTTGTTCCTAATAGAGTCACATTTCTTTTCTTTTCTCTCCATAGTGAAAACCATGCACCATACACAATCTCCTCTCCCTAAAAGAACACAACTGCTTATCAGATACTAAAGGCAACACAAAGCACCACCGTACAATTTCAATCCATACCGTAAATGATCCTTAAAATGTTACTGCAGTATTTCTAACTGATCAGCTAAAAAAATTAGACTCTTTAAGTGAAACATATAGAGTCAACAACCTTCCAGACCACCAAATTCTTTGCATATTCACCGCCTTCTACAACCTTCCTTATACAACACCATCAAGTACTTACATATTTTACAGCTCATTGCAAGTACTAAAAATTCTACTCAGGTAATCCTGCAGTGGGAGGAATAATTCCTGCTTCGAGAATGATCTCTAAGACATGAGAAAATGTACCAAATAGAATTTTAATTAGCACAAAACTGAAAACAAAGAAGAGAATGTTTCCTGAAGTATTCTATGGCTGCATCATGCATGTTAAGGAATGTCAGTGTTTATTGAATAGGCTATATAATCTATTCAATACATCTGGACAAAGAGCACACTGCTTCCACAGTACGCCATTCTGGTACTCAATAACACAGGAAAGATATCTGGGAATGAAAATGGTGTCCCATTTAAGAAACAAAATAAACTGGAAAGAGATATGAAATATACTAATTATAAAACTTGGAATGAAAAATTTTGTGACCAAGTAGCAAATATATTCAAATAATATTTAACTTTTGGTGGCTAATCACTAAGTCACTAGTCTAGTCCTGCAAATATTAAATAAAGGGAAAACTTCTACCCTGAATTATAGAGTAAATATTTAGTAATGACATAAGTATAAAAAAAAACTGACCATGGTTTCAGTCCTGGCAACCCCAAAACAGCTGAAAAAAATACAATTCATTCTAAGCATTGCCCTCAATCCAGGGACAACAGGCAACAGGGTAATAACATACTACCAAAGGCCAACGAGGTAGCCACGGTAATTAAGATAGAAATACTCATGTCTCCAGCAATCACCAGTAGCCCTGGACAAATCTGACAACTGTGAACAGTGCATGTGTGCTAAGTCTTCTCCTTGACTCCTCTGGCATTTCAAAAATAACAAAGCTGATCTTCCAGCAATCTTATGCTAACTAACACAACTGCAGTTTTATATCCCTGGGAGACAGGCAACATCAGACTAAGTCACAGCTTAATGGAGCACAGGGAAGGAATTTCAAGTAGAAAGGAAACCAAGGAAGAACTCCAAAGGTTACTGCTATGTACTTTTCAGAGCCCCTATATATTGGAGATGGGAGGGAAAAACTGGAAGAGTACAAAGGAAGGGGTGACACTGTCCAAAACAGAAATGTTCTCTTTGACTTATGTAACTGTAAACCTTCTGTAATTCACCTTTATTACAATAGAAATTTTTCAAAAGAACGCTTGCATAGAATTCAGAACAAGTAACTGTGAAGTTAAACTCACATATCTATTCACTAGTCTCACTGAATAAACCAGCTGGCACTGGAAGCTACAAAAATCAAGGAAGAATCATTAAGATGTGCCATTTGGTGAACTGTGACAGTCTTCACCTTTCACATTTCTTCAAGTAAAAATTAGGTATAATGTAAATTCATAGCACCTAAGGAGGATTGCAATTCAATGTTATTTCAGGTGGAACAGTTAAACATACAATCTTGTCTTTTCTTCTAGATTTTAATAGACCATAGGACATGGTAACCACTGCTCCTGAGGAGCCAACAATAGGCTCCAACTAAGACAAAAATGAAGTCTATTGACAAGAGATATTTTTTTAATGGAAACTTGAACCCTCCTATATTTCTTCTTTTAAAAAAAGCTGGAGAAATCTCTTTACTCACTTTTATAGAAAATGCTTTATATTTTAACAAACCTACAAAGAAAGATGCATTTATATGAGCAAAGTCTGAGAAAATAAACATTAGTATAGAGGACAGTGATATTACTTTTTAGCAAATATTTTCCTATTTCTCCTCTACTTCCTAAAATACTGTATTATAAGAGATGAATCTTTGAGGTATAGTTATATTAAGAAACTTGAAAGACATTCTTAATCATTTCCTGCCAAAAAAAACTCTGCACAGTAAGCCCTACTCTGCCCCAATAAAATAAAATATTTTCCATCATTCTCTACTAGCCTAAAGAAACTTCAGCTCAGAAACTTCCTTAAAGGAATAATAATAGCTGCCTTTTTGCAATTCTAACTCATTGCTGAATCACGTCATGTTTGCTTATTCCCATCCATATACATACAGATATACATTATAATATTTAGAAAACCACAGGAAAAGTCATTCCAAACTGCCATTTGAGAGTAACTGAAACGAATTCCGGGCATTTACACTCTGGTCGTTCTGCTAGCACCGCAAATGTATATCTCACATCAATTATTTTCAGAACCAGCCCATTCCTCACTCTACCAACTCAATTTTTCTTTGATTCTTGGTGATGCCCTTGTCATCGCATACATTCACAATAGAGAATACAGGGCTACTTCAAATATTTCATTTAACAGTCACAACCAATGGATCACTCCCTCATTTACCCCATTTGTTAACCTGTACCTCCATTTGGTCAACAAGTATTTATTTACAGGGTTGGGGTTTGGATATGAAACCTTGGTTCCAGCTTGGTTCCCCCCTATGGTTTATCCCCTGTTGTCACTGTATTTGATTTTGGTTCCCTGGGACTTGTATATATGTTTGTCTGAATTAGAGAAGGGAAGGGAACAACAAAATGGTGAGACAAAGGACAAAGGGGTAAAACAATGCAACAACAGTGATACTCATAAGACAGTATGTTGGAAATGACCTGTACAACTTGGGGGAGAGGAGAGAGGGAGAGGAGAAAAATGAGAGAGGGGATAACAAGTTCGACAAGAAATACACTATCTTACTCATGTAACAGCAACTGCTCTGCCCATCACTTTGACAGTAACATTTTTGTAAAGAGATTTCACAGAGAAAAAAAAGATACAGTGACTTGCTGTATAGCTGATATTTTATGTTCTCTCTGTAAGAGAAAATATATCTTTTTTCTTTGTTGTGTTCTGAATGTCAAGAACACCTAATGTATAGTAGCAATAAGCATGTAAAATGCCATTACAGATCTCTTCCTAGAGCTGAGAGGTCCACTGGAAATGAAAACAGTGTTTTAGTCACCTTAGTGTTTCAAGGTTTCAATACACTTCATGAACTGAATCTTCTCCAGGTATTTTATATGCACTTTCCTTCCCTTTTCCCTTTCCTTTTCCTTCCCCTTCCCTCCCCCTTTTTCTGTGTGCCAGAACTGGGGCTTGAGACAGCACCAGGGCCCACTCCTTAACTTTTTGCTCGAGGATGGCAGTCTACCTCTTGAACTACATCTCCACTTCCAGCTGTTTGCTAGTTAACTGGAGATAAGAGTCTCTATGATGTATCTCCTCAGATCTCAGCATCCTGAGCTAGAATTACAGGCATGAGCCACTAGCACTTGGTCTGAAATTCATGTTTCTAAAACATACATGAAAAAAAAAGGTATTTTTGAAATTTATCAGACTGAATCGCCAGTGGAGTAGTTCCATGAGCTCTGCACAGCACAGGACAGGTCTGGATATGATTCA